GTAGTCAGAGTCTGCAATGTGCACAGTGGAAAATTTTACCGGATTCCGGTCAGTCCAGTTTTTTCGCTCGTTTTCCCCTCATCGTCTTGAGACTCGAATTCGTCAGTTTGGCTCGCTTTTTTCACTTGCACTGCGATGTATGTGTCGATTGTAGTGCACTGTTGTTGAATTCGGACAGCAGGGACCGTGCTGGACCGCAAACCGACGATGAGGCTGGATTGGCTGGCGGACCATTGGGATCAGCACAACCATGCTCCTGCGCTCCAGGCAAGCTCAGCTCGCGCCTTTACATGTCGGATGATGTGACACGGGTCTGGAAACCTTGTTTTCGAGGCGAGGGCGGACGGGGACGGTCGGATAGACGCAGGAGCGCTGTCGAGCCCCGCCAGCCAAATGACTGCACCAATTGCACCAATTGCACCGCATCTCCACTCAGGATATAGCTCTCATTCTATTAGAATATAGACAAATACACTCAACAATGAACACCTATTAGTCACGCATATTCAAATGCCATGGAACGAAGATGAATAGGTTTTCATTTAAGCTTGACGGACGGTCTTCCAGTGGGAATGTCTGCCTCAGCCCCTCGAGTTGGTCGGGTGTTAATGCGTGACAGTAGCCGCTGCAGCCAAAAGGTTCGAGAAGCGCGATTTCGTGGGTGTGGGGGGTCCGTGACGTGTAAACGGGATTTCTGCCATACTCGAAACCGGTCGGCCGGTAGTACACTTCAATCTCAACGTAGATCGTTTGCTCGACACGCCAAAACATGGCTGGCTTGGCAAACACGGGCCCAATCTGAAGAACTGCCTCGCAGCCGACCTTGGCGAGCGAAACAGATCGCGAGCCCCACAATGACATCTTCAACGTTTTGAACGCGTGAACTTGTCCCTGGAGTTGCGCCCTCCGCAGGGCCGCTGTGAAGACCGTAACAGGCGAACCTCTATTCTCGCGTGTGAGCACACTGGTCACGATGTTATCGACCTTCTCTGGAGTAACAGGACAGCGAGTCAGCACGCCAAACTCGCGACCAGCAACGTAGGGAACCACATCGTCGACGTGCTTGACTATTCTGGCTACCAGTCTTGGAACAATGTCATCATGTGGACCAGGACGGATGAGGCGGCCGTAGCGGTTGATTGCGCGCTCGAACGGAAATGTCGATACTGTCATGCCCCACTGGCATGCCTACTTACTTGCATGCATTACCTTGTATTGTTTGTCATGTCTCCCATACTGGGAATGGTTCATTCGTCAATATACCTTTATTCATGAACATTGCCTGACAATCGACGTACCTTTGCACTGACTCTGACAGATACATGTGCAGGCGGGCCGTGTTGCTGGCAAGCCCAGGCCAGATGGGACAGATGGTGGGTAGTAATGGGCACATTACAAGTCCCAAAGACTGCAGCAACGCTCTTGATGGTCTCGTTTGAACAGTTTCGCGAGCGAGCAATCGAGGTCGTTGTCGACCTGAACC